TTTCCGTTACATACACCCATTTAATTTTATTTATTTACGTTTTGTCATACTTTTTTAATCTTATATTGTCATAATCTGTTAATTTGAACACAAGGTACCGTACTTAGAATCGCAGCCAGAAATTATTTTTTATTTGATGTATTTGAACTCTTTGAGCTGGCAACGGTGCGACAAAATAGTTAATGGTTCGAGCACTCGTTTTAACTTTCCTTATCGTCTTTTAACTTGATGGGAAGATGGGCGATTTGGAGATAAACTAAGACAATAGATAGTATGAATATTTTTGGGCTGTTTGTTTGTAGTGACTCTTGGCTCGTAACACAACAATCATTATGATACCGTGTCGTTTTGACATCAATTCTATGTTATCGGTGATTGTAATGTTAAGGGGGATTCCTATTGTCACAGTATCAGAGAAATATCCAGGTTCTCAGTATAAATTCGAAATCATCAACATTAGAACAAATTCTTTTTGTATATTATCATATATTTTTTAACATTGTTAACAAAAATTTCGCTTCTGAATTTGAAAACTGTTTTAAACACAGAAAACACACCCGTCGTTAGACATTTTAATTGGACAGAGGAGATAGATTCGATGCGTCGCGCATGCAAAACAAAAGCTCTTCTTTTCCGAGGGGACTTTTTCACGGCTTTTCGCATCGAAGCGAAGCCAATTATTTTAATGTTTGGATGTACTTAGAGAGGGAGGGTAATTTATCTTTTGATATGTATGTGATGATTTTGATAGTAAAATTACATATCACTATATTACCATGAAATTACAATATTTCATTTCTATAATAATAGTACAAGAAACAAGAACGTGTGAATATCAGAATATTTTTTTCTGTATTGCTCCGCCTTCTATGTTCTGTGTTCGTGCCATTTTCTTTCTGATGGCTTACACTTTAAATACTAGCACCACAAAGACAATAAATATAAATAATATTGTGTCACGAGAATTAGAAATGAACAAATTGAGTAGTTCTGACATCAACACATTTAGCGAGGTAATGGGTTACATTAAAGCTATTGGCACTGCCATTAAGATGTTTTCCCTGCTCCCCTTTCACCTTCACACTGGCGTTCAATACACAGTATGTGCAAGTTTATGAAGCGTGTATCAAAATACTGTTTGTAGTAACGATGGCACCTAACTAATTAATGTCTCTCTATTTTAATAAATGAAATTTGAGTGTAATACTTGCAGTGAGCAAACTAGTCTTGCGTTCTTTCTGCGTTGGTACATAGATGCTACGCTTATAGTTATTTCCTGGCTATGTCATGTTGTTTGCGACGGCTTTTTCTTTCAATGGATTACAATTTACATCACTTACTTTCAATAAATTCGCACAGAATTTGTTAAGCCGTTCTTCCGTTTTCCATCATGTCCGTTTTCCTGTTGGTTTTGTGATGCCTCGTAAGCAGGAGCCCTCCTGGGACGTCGGCTCCCAAACAAAGAGCTTATCCTGCTATTTTGGCCTGATGTTATTATTTCTCGTGGAAATAATGAATTTATCATTGATGGGTGTGTTCAACCTGATGTCCACTGTAACCTGGTCTCTAATATTTAGCACCAACACATTACGAAAACATGAGAGTAAGTTTATTATTTAAAACGAAAAAAAAAAATCAAAATGTAGCGTCAATTAAACGAAGACTATCAAATCTCGTACATAGAGATACAACGGTAGTGTTAATACCAATAAGAAGATGCGAGCGGACACCAACAATTAACCTATGTGGTACAGACGCGGGTCACGATCCGTTTCCATACAGGTATGTGTATTGAGCAGCCCTGGGGACAGACGACTCCTCCGTGGTGGGCTCACAAACACGGATATCAACTCTAAAACATCACCATGTAGTCTGCCGCTGAAAAGATTGCTGAAAGTGCTTTTAAGGGTTTATTTAGTCAATTATACTCGACGAGCTAGATCCTTATCACGCTCAATGCATTGGTGTAACCCCGCTAGCTGACATACAACAAGCTACATTTAGCCCGTTTCTAAAGGAGCGTGTCCTTTTCCAAAAAGCACCAAGCATACCTATTGGTGCCTTTGTGTAGCGTATGACAACAGAGAGCGTGGCGACATTCACCGCATATTGCCGCTCCTGAGCAGTGCTATATCGATGTGCTCCATGAAAAGTAATGTCAGAACACGGTTATCTTTCATTCAGTGCCACACTCAACTCCCCACCAATCGACCCGTCCTTCACTCGTATACATATTATTTGCAAACGCTTCGATTCAAGTTAAATTAGTGAGATGTTTTGTATATTTTTGGAGCTTAAATTGACTTGATGTTTGCACGGATACTATTCAACTTTTAAGCACTGTATTCTCCTTTACGAGGGACACTGGGGAGCGGCGTTTGTAATAAGGCCAGGTACTGTCTTTATGGTTTTCCCTTTATCACACATCCCTGTTTCATCACTGGTTGCCGTCCCTATCCTCCGTCTCAACACGTTTCATCCGTCTCATCCCGTTCTACCCAGTACGTGATATTTAACCATTGAAACCAGGAAAAGTAGCGGTAAGCAGCGGTGCTAACACGAGATGGGATGTAGTCACCTCGACCATAATATATATTACCGATGTTTTGCTTTAGTCGAAGAATAACACCTGCTTCCGTTCAAAAGTTGTGTTTCCATAAACACTGATAATATTATTCATTAAATTTCCTATGCGTTGGATTAGTCGTAATAGCGGCACTAATTCCACTCCAAGTGCTAACAAAGCCGACATGAACCTGCTGGTTGTATTAAACAATAACGGTATGACCCACCCATCACATTTCAAAACGTCTAATATACTCATAATTTACACAAATGTTATCTTACGGCTTATTGATACGATGTGACCAGAGAAGCCAAAGAGCAGCTAGTGTCCGTGCACCAGATGAATAAGGTGGTAAATAAACACGTAGCACACGGCTTCTTTCATTAAATGACGGGGTAATCCATTCAACGTATTGTGATGACAACATCATTAACAGATAATTAGTTAAACACTGAAAACAAACACACGTCTAGTCATCAGTAATTTTCTACGTATAAATAATTAAGAATAATTAGGCAACTGCTATTTGTGGTCTGAAAACAGCAATAAGTGAGAATGAAAACAAACTATATTGGAAGGTGGTTTATTGACACTGGTAGTTCTCCGTATACATGCTAACTGTTTAGTGTTGACATATCGGCCAGTATTATATGATTGCGAACATAGATAAGACATAGCGAAAGTGATAAGGTCAAGACTAGTCATTTCATCGCGTAGTGACTTGTAGCGGGTTTCCCTGTATGACTAGATTTCAATGCAGTCTCCACGGTGCTGCTCTCGCCTCTTTAGTAAGTCGAGTCACGTCTCATTTTAGACTGATTACCAAAGCGGGGCATCCAAGCAGTCATCGGTAGGAATCCTATGGGGTTCTAACACACACAGTGATGTCAGTAAAAACCCAAGGCTCCTCTTTCAAGCATTTTCAACAATGACAAAATCTACACTATTTGTGATTGATGACAATAAAAATAATTTTAAAATTAATTCACAACGAAATAAAATTGCGAACAAGTATACATTATTATTCGAACTCGTCTCCTATTTGAATTTTAATTATCTTAATATAACAGCATTATATACTTGACAATTAAATTTATTTAAAAAAAATGGCATTGTCGAAGTCGTGCCTTGTAAATAATTGCAAGACAATGAGTTATGTGTTCATACATAGCTCACCAATCGTGTATTACTATCGCTACATTACAACCAGGACGGTGAAAACTAGAGTGGAGCTAAGCCATGGGAATACGGATGTGTTGATCTCTGCCGACGAACCCATTAAAATGTGTACTCATATGCATATTAAGTGTACTTGTCTCCAATGTATGCAGGCTTTGTTTATGAGTAACATGTATGTCTTAATACAGTACAGTCGAATAACTATGTTGCTGTTACGTAAACATAGCCCATGGACATTGCTGTCAATTGGTGGCCAATTGTCCGCTTTAACAGTAGTCAAAACACATCACATTTTAACGCGGCATAAAATCAATTCAAGTCTAGTAAGTTTCAACAGGTTCAATTTCTAATTTCACTCGATAAATATCGTCGATTACTCGTCTGACACCATTGTATGTGGTTTGTTTCATCGATTATGTTACCACCTTAAAACTGACATATCTCACATCGCCTCTTCCGACTCAGTACGATTGATTTTTATTTAATATTATTTTTTTAAATATTTTTTATGCGAGCGCGGGTGTGGTAGCAATTTACTCTACGTGTGGATTTTAGTAGAAACAAACATGGTTAAAAGAATATGACAGCATGTTCGTATCATGGGAATGACTGCCGGCCTCTGCGCTCACACCGGAAAGACTCACTGTATATTTGACGACGCACTAAACCGGATCTATTTGTAGTTTGAAATAATAGCGATATACGTTTCACTGTAAATATAGTGTTTCGTCATGTTAAATATTACGGAGGACGTTAACAAGTTGTTTATATTGATCTGTATTCGACATGCCCTTCACTATTAACAAGGGGTACTTGTCACATTTTAGCGATTAACTCAAAGCAAATATAAAATATATTTAACACAGTAAATGGCAATAATTAGCTATGTCGCTGCTTATGTCAGATTAGTGAAAAAAATACATCAACTAGGAATCTCACCAGCTACACACTAACAGAGGCCCATAAAGACAAATTATAGTTTGGAGGGGCTGTTTTCATATTTAGTCAATTTCAATCATGGAGCGATTTTAATTGCTGACTTTAAAATCGGAAGGAAAACGACAGGTGACCTGGTTGAAAAATTGCAAAATGGCGTAGGGTATTTTGCGAGCTCTCTCAACCAATCGAGAAAGTCATTTTAGCCTAGTAGCACTTCAGATGGCTTTTCCGGACAGACATTTTGTGACAATGCTTCATTTTTTTAACGACACAAAAGCACATTAAATAAAGCGGAGTGAACACTGGAACAGGATAGTTCCAAAAACTCTCATTAATTTTTCGATCAGTTATCGTTCCTGAATAAATTTGCAACCGAAATGCATCACAACTCTAAATAAATTCAATTGATAAATTAATATAATAACTTAGGACGTGATACTGGAATTTGACGTCACTATAAATAGTCCATGGACATTTAAAATTGATGTAATTTATAAAATAGAAATCTTGAGGCAATACTACTGGCAATATTCATACAATCAACTGTGGAGTGAGACAATCGAGTCATTGCCAAGATATGCACAAGAAATTATGCTTCAGTTCAACTATTTTTACTTTTATGTGCATACTATAAAACAACTTTCCAGAATTTAGTGTTACCCGATGAAAAACAGCACTTTAAATAATTTAATTTTAAATTTCCCAGTCAAATTAATAACTGAAGACAAATTTAAAGGCAATTCGACTTGTTGTGTGATACAGTCTATTGATGTGAATTATTAAAATTCTATTTAGTGGAGCGGCTGCCTGCTAGCATTCAGGCTTGTCAGTCGGCAGTATGTAGCATCAAAAGACGAGTATGCCAGTGTAACCGTCTTACTGTCCTCTAATCAACGCTGTTAGTAGAGCAGGAACAATTCTTTAATTATCCCCATAGCTGTCGGTTGTGCCATAGTATACGGCTTGTCTTAATTGCAACTTTCCAGTTTCCGCTGATTGATGTAACGAACTAACGTACATGACTGCGTATAGCCCATGAACACGGTGCTACAACGCGTCATCAGCCGGTGGCTGGAATTCGTAAACAGAACAACTATAGTATGAAGTTAAACGAGGAAAATAATTGTTATCTACTGAGGGCTCTGTGTGCAGAAAACGTTTTATATACGAGTAGAATAAACGCGACTGCATTTGAATGATAACATCGTTACAGTCACATCGAGTGCACATGCCACTACAACGTCGGGATATCTGACAATTCACGTTATATATATGTAC